GAGAAAAATTTTTCGAACTTCAGACTGCCAATGATTATCAGGTAGTGAAAAAAGTTCCAAAAAGATATAACCAGTATTCGGACTTACTCAGATGAGAGTATTCGCAGTTCGGAAAATTGTACTGCAAGAGGAATTTCCCGTACCGTTTTCTGAAAAACGGTTTTCGGAAAAAAATGTTCCGAATTTCCAAATAGCGGGAAATTGCAAAAGGAGATCGAAATTTTTGAGAAAAAGATATTCCGGATTTCCAACAACGAAATTTCGGATTTTCAGAAGAAAAACGAAAACGGAAGTTTCAGATGTTGTGATATTGCGATTTTTCACAACAGAAATAGCGAGAAAACGAAATCCAAGAAAAAATAAATAAATGATTTTCGGCAGTGAGGTCAAAATCGTGATTTTGGGGGCTAACTAGTGTGCTCTAATCAATCAATGAAGAGTCGTTGAAGACTAATCAGCTACCTAGTCCCCGCACACGTGTCAGATCAGGTTGTCCTGATTCACGTGTGGTGTTCCGATACCAACTGTTACATGCCCAGTTGGGCGATGTACATATAGAGCGAGGATCCACAATGTGATAAAAAGGACTGAATGGACAATGCAGTGCAAGCGGAATCTCAACAAGCAATGTGCATTCCGATACATACAAAATGGTGCTTTATAGCGCAGGGAAGACTTTAGGTACAAGTCCTGACCTGACCAGGACTGACCTCTTTCACGTAGTACAAGATAGCGAATCAGAATGCTAGAATACTAAAACGTAGTACAAGATAGTGAAGCAGAATGCTAGAATACTAAGGACTAGCCCACTCAATGTTTCAACGCAGACCAAACATACATCATGCTCATCACAAGGTGTGATAGGGCCTGGCGCTATACACAGGAAGGAGGCGCCAGGTCCAGACATACACAGACGAAGAGGAGGGGATCRGACGAAGAAGRGGAAGGGGGAGATGGGAAAGTCGTCAACACCAAGTGTCGTTACAAGTCCCAAATAATCCCTCTTCAAAATGTCTGAAGTCCAATGTTGAGTCTGGATCCAAATGTCACCAAGCTCTCTCTCTCTCTCTCTCTCTCTCGCTCTCTCCCGTAGTCTGCTGATGCAGTGAAGTCAGATAGCGAGAGGGTGAGAAGGAGATGGTGGACTGAGAAGAGGAAGAAGAAGAACTCTCTCTCTCATATGCCAGGTACTAACCTGTGAAGATGGCGCTGTGCTGCAGGTACCTCGAAGACGAAGCTGGAGCAACGGCGCTGCAGGTAAGTCCCTCTGGCCTCCGCCCAATCTCTCTCTCTCTCTAGTACCACTCTAGCTGCTATGGCGCCCAGCGCTGAAGACTACCGCTAACGCTGCTACTACTCCTGCAGCGCTCCTCCAGAGTGCTGCTGCCGAATCCTGAAGACTACCTCCTTCCTCCTGCCTTCCCGTGAAGTGTATGTACTACCTCGGCCTGCCTCCTGACTGCCTCCGACTGCCTGCAGTTGCAGGGCGGGCAGTCCAGGAGGCTGCTCTTGCCAATGCCAAACTGAGCCAGGGTCTGGCGCTGCAGTTGTCGTGGGAACAGGCCAAAAATAGCCTGTTCCTAAAACCCTGGTTTGGTGCCYGAGTTTCAGGGSAGGTCKGTCKGATGAAAGACCGAAAATGGCCYTTCGTTTCAGGCTAAAAAGGCTACTGCCATTTTGAGTCTGAAAGGACACAGGGTCTGTAGGCCCCTGTTTTTCAGGCTTTCGAGCTGAACAGACACGGGGCCTGTAGGCCCTGGTTTTCAGGCTTTCAGCCTGAGGGATGCAGGACCTGGAAAATCACCCTCGTGTGCAGGCGCAGCATGTAACACCTTGTCAGCTGCTTTGCTCACTTCAACCGACACCTGTGCGAGTTGATCGCATGCTGGTTGGCACCAGTCCTGAGGGGAGGTTAGGGGTTCTCTCGTGCAGCAACTGAAATGCCAGATTGCTCGACAAGGTAGACATTTCTGTGTGTGACAAGATCAGCGTTGGAAGGGGAAGTGCAAATCAGGAATTGTTTAAGAACACGACACGTCCAGCGAAGACTCGACTCTATGGCCTATCTGTGTCAATTGTGACCTAAGACTAGGAGCTCAGTTTATCACGGAGACGAGTGAAATCCAGCATCAATGGACACAACACGCATGCATGTAAGGAGCTCAGTTTATCACAGAAAGACAAGTGAAATCCAGCATCAATGGACACAACACGCATGCATGTAACGGTAACTGAAAGCACTCCACTTCCAATTGCTTGCCGGAGGTGCTGCTCGACACTCCCTTCTTCATCAGACCACTTCTTTTTCAGGCAACTCTACTTCCTCGTTCCTCCCCAATCAACCCTGACGGGTCAATGCTCCTCCCCSTGATGCTGCCCAGCTCCAATTTTTGTCTGCCTTAACCACATTGCTCYGGCTTTYCTCCYGTCTGTGTGCCCAGAMAGACAATGACAGCTTGCTCTTATCCTAATTCCAATGATCCCAGGAATTCACACCGCTTTGCACATCACAAGATCTCCACACTTCATCACACCAAGCTCCAAACACAAGACGCAAACCAACACGAGATGAGAACACTCTGGAAATCAAATGGAAATTTGAAAGTCTTGTACAGCTAAGTCTCACGTGTGCACTCTTGGGCGGCTATGATTTCCAAGCAACCTCAACAGGTATGACCCTCTCTTTCTCCCTCACTCGACCCCTATGCTACCCTTAGGCCTCACTCTCCCTCTCTCCGAGTATCTTTGTCTTGCTTATGTTTCTCTCTCTCTCTCTCTCTCTCTCTCTCTCTCTCTCTCTCTCTCTCTCTCTCTCTCTCTC